GACACACCCTGCGAGTTTGGCCCTTGCCCATTGTACCAGCCCTCCCCCCCCCTGCACAGAAGGCGTTTTTGCAACACCTCAAGCCCCTTTTCAGGGGGAGGGGGTCGCCCCACCTCTCTCCCCCTCCCTCCTCAGCAGGGGCAAGGACCCTGCACGGGAGAGATGGTTCGGAATCTAGAATAGAATAGAGCAGGAAGGAACTTCTGGAGGTCATCTAGGCCGGCCCCCTGCTCAAGCAGGAGACCCTACCCCATTTCAGGAAAGCTGCTGTCCAGTCTCTTCTTCAAAGCCCCCCCAAGAACTTCTGGGGGCAAACCGGTGAATTGTCCTCAATGCAAAGCAATCTCCTTTGCAGNCCCCCCTTCTTCCACTTCTGGGCCGTCCGCCGTTCTCTTTCCAGGCAGCCCCCCGGGAGAGAAAGCCTCCAGGAAGCCCCCCGCCCCCGATTGCAGGGAGAAGACCCCAAGTTCGCCAGACCCCCCGTTTCCTTCCCTGCGGAGCGCACAGACGCGACCCTCTTTTCCCCCCGACCGGCTACGCGGCTGAGATCGGAGCCCCGCAGGCGGGTGGCGGCCGCCAACTAGGGAGGGAAGCCCGGGCAGGGCAGGTAGCCAAGCGGGGCGGGACGGGGCGGTCCGGCCGCCCCTAGGTAGCCGCCCCCCGACCCGACCCCGCGGCGGCGCCTCCGCTTCCCGGGCCAGTCCGAAGTCTCGGCTGACCCTCCGGCCGCTCCTCCTCCTCCTCCTCTTCCTCCCCAGCCTTGGGGGTCGCGATGGGCGCGCGGGGCTCGCAGGAGCCGCGGCCGGTGCCGGAGCAGGAGGCGATCCTGGCTGAGACCGGCTGTAAGGCGCTGAGCCCCCTCTCTCTCCTCCGGCGGCAGGAAGCCCCTCGGGCCCCGCCTGGGTCTCTCTCCCCCCCCCCCAGCACTCCAACTCCCATCATCCGCGGGGTCGGCCGTTGGTCGAGAGCGCCCAGGCCGGGGAGGGGGTCGCGGTTCTTCTTCTCGACCCCCACCCACCTACCCAGTTTCCCAGGCGGGCGGGGAAGGGCTGCCTGGGGCGGGGGTCCTGCTGGCTGCACCGGGCGGCCGGAGGAATATTTAGTGGGGAGGGGGATGAGCAGAGAAATCAGGCTGTCGGTTGGGTGGGCGACGCGGGGAGGGGGCGGCCCGTTGCCTGCCACTAGTTTTAAGCCCGCGCGGACTACTTTGTCCCCCCCCCCACCTCGAGAAGCGAATCAGCCGGGCTGCCTCCTTCCCCCGGGACACAACTGGTCCGAGAGACCCTCTCAACCTCCCCCCCCCCTCAAGAGGTTACCTGGGGCCACGGGATTGCCTGGCCGCTTGGAGGGGCTCTTCTGCCCCCCCTCCAAGCCATTGACCCTCCCTCCCCCGGCCCGCTTCTCCCCCACCTGAGCCGGCCCTTCCCTCTCTATCTCCCCCCTCCCCAATAAATCCACACCCCTTTCCCCCCCCTCTCTAAATGCAGGGGGGGGAATGCTCTTCCCTGTGAATCCAGCCAGGCTCTCCCTCTCCCCAAATCAACCCTTGTAGCCCCCACAAAGTCGGTTCATCTGCCCAAGTGGGGGAACCTGGCAGGATTTCCTGCAGTTGGTCGTGAAATCCTCTCTTGTTTTGCCCAGTTTCCGAAGCCAGCCTGCTCCGCCTTTACCAGCGCTTCCAGGCCTTGGACAGGGACGGCAAGGGCTACCTGAAGTAAGTGGNGTGGCTCTGCATGCCCTGGTATGAACTGGGCCATGGGTGACCCACACCTACACAAGGAACTATATTACAACAAGGATGCAGAATAACAAGCGTTGGAAGGGACCTTGGAGGTCATCTAGTCCAACCCCAGACCAACCTGTGGACTTTCAATTCCCAGAATTCCCCAGCCAGTTGTCTCTCTTGAAAAAGCACCCTTGGGGGATTAAATTCCATGAAATGTTTTGTTTTTTTTTTAAAGTGGGGGGGGGGGGAGAGAGTATGAAAAGAGCCCGGTTACCGCAACAGCCAATCCTGAGATTATATCAAGTAACTATCAAGAGAGTTCCTGGACATGTGCAGAGTGCTTCCCTCTCTCACTACACTCCTTCTTTGGATGGGCTTACAAAACCTGGCCAAAAGTCCAAATTTTTGCATTTATAAATCGGTGAGACTGGGTGGAAATAGGCTGCAGTTCTCGAGGCCAATTAAAAATAAAGAATGGAGCACAAGCCCCCAGGGGATTTCTTGATGCTTTTTTCTTAGCTAAAAGCTCCCAATTGGGGGGAGAAAAGGAAGACAGAACTGGGCCTGAATCAGAAATTAAAAACAGCAATAAAAAGAAACGAAAAATGTGTGCTGTGCTGGCTGGGGAATTCTGGGAGTTGAAGTCCACCAGTCTTAAAAAGTTGGAAATCCCTGGTCTAGTCTAACGAAGAGAAAGTCTAGGGGGAGACATGATATCATCTTCCGATATTTGAGGGGCTGCCCTAAAGAAGAGGGAGACCCGCCTCTTCTCCGAAGCCCCTGAGGGCAGGACGAAGAAGCAATGGATAGAAACTAATCAAGGAGAGAAGCAACTAAGGAGAAATTTCCTGAGAGTGAGAACAATTAATTGTCTTCAGAAGTTACGGATGCTCCATCACTGGAGTTTTTTCAAGAAGAGACTGGGCAGCCATTGGTTTGAACTAGAGTCACCTGCTTAATCAGAGGGTCAGACTACAAGACCTCCAAGGCCCCCTCCCAACAGCGTTATCCTGGATTTAATTTTAAATTTTGATTTGATTTGATTTGATTACATTTATATGCCGCCCTTTTCCCCAAAAGGGACTCAAAATGCTTTCCATTCAGCATTACTTCCCGGTGGTGCTGTGGCATAGGGAACCCATGCTTCAAATACTTTATTTATTTATTTTTAATTTAAAAGTTACCGATGTAAAAATCTTGCACTCACACAGACTTACCTGGCCCAGAGAGAGATAAGAAGCCGACGCCCCTTCCTTGGCAAGCTCAAAACGGGTGGGAAGGCTGGACTTTGGGAAGGAATCGTGGTGACCATGTCAACCATCAGCCCAGAATAGTAAGTATTCTGCAACCGAGAAGGATCCGGGATGCCAGGAGGGGCTTTACCTACCATCCCGCTAAGCTCAGGATGATGGGAAAGGAGTCCCACCTGTGTGATGGGCAAGGCAATTGAATGAAGTAGGCCAGTGTTTCCCAAAGTTGGCAACTTTAAGACTTGTGGACTTCAACTCCCAGAATTCCCCAGCCAGCGAATGCTGGCTGGGGAATTCTGGGAGTTGAAGTCC